TGAAAAAAAAATATTTAGGGAAATACTGTAGTAAAATAAAAATCATGTGAGGAAACATTACAATAATCTACAGTGTTTTTTTTTAAAAAAAACTTCAAAGTAACATTCTCAAACAGCTCAATATGAAAAAAAAATCGATAAAAATTATTTTGAGAAAAAAAATTATGTCGAGAAACTTTGTAGCAATACATAATGTTTTAAAAAAATATATAAAACTAAATTTTCAACTAGTTTAATATTAAAAAAATCAACAAAGATAATTTAAAAAAATACAAAAAAAAAACAATCTTAGAAAAAAAATATGGAAACCCCAAAAAAAAGAAAAGGGGGAAACAGAAAAAAAGGCGGAGAAAAAAAAATGAATTAAAAAAAGAAAAAATAAATAAAAAAAAACAAATAAAAAAACATAGTGAAAAAGTTAGAATACTTTTTCTTCACAAGTTAGAGAATTAGTTAATAATTATTTTAAATTAAAAAAGAATAAAAAAATCATTTATTCTTTATTTGAGCATTGATCTATAATAATAAATATAAATACAAACTTTGTGTATAAAAATATATTTTAATTTTAAAAATCATTATATTGTTTTATCTTAAAAAAGTATATATATTTTTAAAATTAAAAAGGCTTCAACTCTGTATAAAAGAAATATATTTATTATTTTTTATATCATAATACAGGGTATATGTCAATACTAATATATAAATTCAATTATATTAAAACATCAATATAATCACTAAAATATAATTTAACCCCCTTTTTCCATTATACATAAAACCTTAATCTCTATAATGTTTTATTGATACTTTATTTTGACCGCTATTACTCTAAAAAATGCTTAAAAATAGATCAACAAAAGCCAATAATAAAAATCTGAATTAAATCTTGTATGTATGCGCGCATGCACATGTGTATATATGTATAATGTACATGAGATCCTACAGAATTAAAAGAACCATACATGAACCAGGTTACGACATCAGTTGCTACCTCTCCACGTTGCACGATACTAAGAATTAATAGAAAAAAAAACCTACTTTCTTTTTTTTCCAGATAAATCTCCAATAACACACTCAAACCGGTAAAAACCCACGACCACCACCCTGAGAGCACATACAGTAACAGTCAAGAATCATGTTATTAAAACTAGTAATAAATCCTACTAACAAAATTTTCATAGCTGGCAAATATGCTATATCTCGTCAAAATGAGATTTCAAGATATCCATGGCAAAGAGTTATATTGAATTCCAAAATTGATAAACAGTAAATGATCATCAAAATGTACACAGCCAAAGATGATAAATTAGTTCTTATAGTGAGCAATTGGGGATCGGTTGATTCATCAAGCACTTGCACATTAACAACTATGTAAACCGAATGTACTCAACAGATGTTCTCAGTTCTAAGGGCGGAAAACCATTTAACTAGCAGTGCTCATGCCTCTGAAATATCTAAATTGCAGGCAAAGCTAATGGATCAGTTTCTCTGTTTAACGTCTCTTCTTGCTTGCTTTTGCAGCACCGGATTTGGATGGGGTTACGAGCAGGTAGATGAACAGAACCACGATGGAGATCACAGAAATTAGAGACCCATACTTAGCCAAAAGCTTCTGCAAATATAAAAATTCTTGCATTAGGAATACAATAGTATCATTGCATATTGAGGAAAACATAAGTATATCGCCATGGAGAGTTGTAGCAGCAGTTACAGTAGTTGCTCTATATAAACTTGGAGAAAAAATGGACTGTAAAGAATCATTTAAATGATAACCATAGTTTGGACATCAGCAAATAATATTGCCATTTATTTTATTTTTTTCCTGTTTATAATTCCATGATCACCGAGTCAAGAGAGGTAAGGATGCTTGAAAAAATGGACGATGAGGTCTTAGTTCTTTTGACCCTTTTTACTTGTAAGGTCAAATTTGAGTTCCAGGAAGCACAGTTTAATAAGTAACTCTTAACCAATAGTGATAGAGAGAATAAGAAGATGATTCATACCTTTGCCTTCATAATTTTGGCCGGACCAAAGGTGATCCCATAAAACAGCAAGGAAAAAAGACAAGCTTCAGTAAACAGCAGAGAGAAAGAGAGAGAGAGAGAGATGAATTTGTCTGTTTGAGATTCCAACAACAAACTTACCAACTCCAACTTCTGCACTGGAGGTTTTTCTGCAAGGACATCAAGAGGCAGGATGGGAGTCGAATATGCCTCCTGTTATGACATCAGAAAATAGAAAACTTAACGCAAGATGGTGGGCAAAGAAAAGAAAATATAGAAAACTGTATGAACATCAAACCTGTAGGGCAGCCTTTGTGGGGATACGGAATGTAATGACTGCTGGAGAACCGTGAAACATTCCTTTCACTTTGCCCTCCAATTCAAAAGCGTGTGACAGAAGACCACCACTGCAAAAAATATAGAGGGCCACATATAACAGTGACTAAAGAATGATAAAGCTCAAATAGACAGTCATTATTGCAAGATGGAACTCACGCATCAAGCCTGTCCCATGACTTTGAAGTATTGCCACTGACAACATCAAATATATCTTTAGGCCAGTTATCATCAGTGAGAGTTATATCATATGCTGTCCTGTAAATTTACAAATAAGACATTGTTAAGCAGATGCAACAAAATATATGCTCAAATTATATTTAATGAAGGTCAAATTAAGTAGGAAGTAAATTAACTACCAAGACAACAGATAAGAGGGAACCCTGCCTACAGCCAGGGAAAGGGGACTGGGGTTATGCGTTAAAAGTCAGCTGGCAAAATGAAACAAATAAAATAACTACTTTTTTTCTTGTGGAAAATAACTACATTGTCTACCAACAAGCAAAGGAGCATTTGTAATGATATGTAAAACCAAGCAAAAGGATCACCGTATATATTCTCTTGGCCCATTTATGAACATACAGATATAAAGAATAAAGGTTCTAATTACTGATCAGAAGCACCGGTTCCATAAACTCAATCAGTAAGTCATCCGACTGATCAAGCAAGTTTCCAGAGACTAATTGAGCCATTTATTATGAAGAGTTTCTTTATAATTCCTGAGACATATTTTCCCATCCATTCCAGCCAGGACAGCAATTGCCAGAAGATTCTATTCATATTTTTGAAAGCAGAAGGGATTTAAATTCCAATTATAACTGCTCACAAGGTACATAAGAATGTAGATTTGCACGCATTTATATGCACCAAACTTTTTAAAAAATAAAATTGACATTTCCTCTCAGAAACTTTTTATCGACGCTGGACTAGTTTACCTTGGTTCCTTGATGTGTCCAGGAATCATTCCGCTTTATTTTTATATGAATAACGTTTTGTTAAAAAGATGAGTGAGGAAATCATTGAAGAACAAGACACTCCGAAAAGAACAAAAACAGAGTGAAACAAGAGAACACTATAACCTGTCATATATCAAACAATCATTTCATCACATATATCAAGAATTAAAGTAATAACATCTGGATAGCTAAAGGGAAAACTAGAGACCACCACAGCATTTTAGAGGAATCATTAAAGGCAACTTAAACATAAATTTAACCCATCAATTACAATGTGATTAAAACCTCACCATCCCATACATAAAACTTAAAGTCCAAGAGCAAATTGATTTTCGCCCACAAACCTAAACTCATTTTAAAAATCAACCAACGCTTATACGCATTAAGTGTGTCCATCTCGTTGAAGCACTATGATCTAAAACTCCATGCTATTAATCCTCGATGAAATTTCACATCACTCAACAAAATTTAACTTCGATCAACATCCTAAAATGTGGAACACTCTAGCCATAATCATTTGAACCTAAACCCTTCCACAATTATACAACACTCTAACCTTTGAGGCTGACCATTACGCAATTTCCTGTAAGTTTCAGAATTTGTTGTTACGAATAGCTATCAACTTCGGCTTTCATCTTCTACACAGAAATCAATACATCCATACTTAATTCAATTACAAATGGATTAAATAAAAACATCTACCCCTAAAGACCCACGACTCAACAAACATCTATTAAACCCATATGGATTTAATCTCTATTAACACGCTGCTAATAAAAATAAAACCCATCTCCCTACTCAAACCCCTACAATTTTGCATCACATGCAACCAAATCTCTGAATTACAATTGATTTCCTAAATTAGAAATATTTAAAATTAGCTCCAATTCAAATTCCACTTGAGATCTAATAAAAACAAAGCATCGATAATTGAACGCATGCAAATAGTTAAAATCTCAGATCTACTTAGATTGAGAGAGACATATCGGAACTCACGAGGATCCTTGGTTGTAAATATCGATAGAGACGGAGACGCGCTCAGCTCCAGATTTGAGGCTTCTGAGAGTGGCTTTCTTGTGAGCGACGATGAAGGGAACATCGGAGCTAGCGAGAGATGAGGATACCAATAGGAGACATAGTAAGAGAGAGAATAGAATTTTTGTTGTTATTGGGTTTGCCATTGGATTTCGTCGTGGTGGTGGTGGTTGTGATAGTGGAGGAGGAGAAGGAGGATCTGGTTGTTTTTTGGTAAAAAATGTGGAAGTGGAAATAAAAACGAGGGACTAGGGTGCGTATTTGGTCAAACCATTGACATCGAAACGGTAACGTTTCAAACAATGGCGACCATAATCAATTTCCATTTCTGTTCTTTCTTTGCCTTCATTTTTTTATTTTTTCCTTGTGTTATTACATTTTGTTCTTCCTTATTTATTCTCGGATTCCTTTTCTATTTCTCCTCAGCAAGTTTTTTATTTTACATTTTAATTTTCACTATTATAAATTTACTTTAGCTCACCATAGACGTAAATTAAGATTATATATTATAATAATAGCTAAAATTGCTAGTGTTTTATTACGTAATTTCATAATAAAATGCTGAATTTTTTTATTTTACTTTATTTTTTAAAATTATTTTTTATTTCCTTTTATTTTTTTCTTTATTTTTAAGCTGTTTCTTTTCTTTGTTTTTTTAATGAATTTTTTTTGTTTAATTATTTTATTAATGTTTAATTTTTTTTATTTAGTTATTAAATTTTTATGATACAGGTTTCGGGTTTGATAGATTAACTCGAATTTTTTTTATTTTTCTTTTTAATTAATTTTTTTGAGTGTAATCTACCGTGAAACTTTTAACTGTTTTTTTTTTCTTTATTTTTTTCTTTGTTTTTTTTGCCTTTCGCTTTGTTTTTTAAAACTGTTTTGTTTTCTTTGTTTTTTTAATGAATATTTTTTTGTTTAATTTTTTTGTTATTTTTAAATTTTTTTCTATTTAATTATCAAACTTTCATTATACGGGTTCCGAGTTTGATGGGTTAACCCAGATTTTTTTCTGGTTTTTCTTTTTAATTAATTTTTTCATTTAATTTAGTTTGTTAATGTTAAATTTTTTCTATTTAGTTATCAAATTTTCATAACACGGATTCTGGATTTGACAGGTTAACCCAGCTAATTCTGGGTTAACCTATAATTTTTTTTCTTATTCAGTTATTAAACTTTCATGACACAAATTCTAGATTTGACGGGTTAACATAGTTTGAAGGATTAATCCAGTTAATTCATATTTTTTTTTTCTTTTTCTTCATTAGTTTTTTGCTTCATGTAGGCTTTTTCTTTGTTTGTTTGTTTTTCTAAATTAATATTTTTTATGTTTAGTATTTTTGTTTTTTTTCTTTTTAATTATTTTTTTAAATTTAGTTTGTTACTATTAAGTTTATTTCTATTTAGTTATCAAACTTTCATAACACAAATCCCAAGTTTGACGGATTAACCTGGTTTGACGGGTTAACCTAGTTAATTCAGTTTTTTTTCTTTTTCTTCATTAGTTCTTTTTCTTCCTGTAGGTTTTTTTCCTTTGTTTTTTTTCTTTTTAATTAATTTTTTTTGTTCATTTTATTTTATTAATGTTAATTTTTTTCTATTTAGTTATCACACTCTCATGACACGAATCTCAGGTTTAACGAGTTAACTCGATTTGGTGGGCTAACACAATTGATTCAGATTTGTTTTCTTTTTCTTTATTAGTTTTTTTCTTTCAATTTCATCTTTAAAAATTGTAATTAACTACAATTAAAAGACATCACTCTTTTTTCTTCCAATTTCATGACACGAATCCTAAGTTTGACGGGTTAAATCAGTTGATTCAGATTTTTTTTCTTTTTCTTAAATAGTTTTTTTCTTTCAATTTCATCTTTTAATATTGATTTGATTAAGAATTAGACTTTATAATTTATTTTTTTTATTGGTCATTAAATTATTGTGATCTCATAAGGGGATTTTACTGTACCCCTCATTGCAAAGCACTATTCATCGAAATAATGCTTTGCTTTATTTTTTTCTTTTCAATTAATCTTTCTTTTAGTTTTATTTTGTAATATTAAATTTTTTTTCTTTTTAATTATCACACTTTTATAATAAAACCTTGCAACCAGACTCATATCAAAGGCTTTAGGTTTGATATTGCAACCAAACTCACTTAAACTTGAGTCTTGTAAATTTAATATTATTATTAATATTATAAATATAACTTTTGGATCAGGAGTAACAAATAGACCAAGTACTCTTAGGTATAACTTTGTAAAAAAATTTAATACTCTTAAATTTTAACTTTTTTGATATTTTTTATACAAAAAAATTAGCCTATGGCATAGCGCGGGCCACGTTTCTAGTTTATATATAAACATGATTTTTTTTTTTTTGCTAAATGAAATGAAAGAAGATTATAAAACTTTTATTATAATGATGGGCTTTGTTGTTACCTATTTTTTATTTCATAAAAAAGTCAAGGAAAAAATAAAAATAAAATTCAAAATACAAGAGGATACACATGAAAAAAACTTAAAAGATCACCCCAATTGGTGGTGAATGATATAACAAGTGAAAAGGTTGGAGGACTAGAATATACAAGATTGATAAAATTAATGACCTAATTCTAATTGATAAAAGACTCATTCAGTGAAAATAATTGTATTTGAGGTATAGAAATGCAAATTTGAATGAGTAAGGATTCAATATGGTTTTTAAACAGCTTAATTAATTTTATTAAGGACTTAATTACAAGGAAATCAATTTTTTTTATAGTCAATTTTGAGTGTTAATTGAAAGAAATTGAAGTTTAGGGACTAAAATTAAACTTTAGAAAGTTTAATTGGTCAAATTATAAGCTTAATTTTGAAAAAAATTAAAGTTTGATAGCCAATTAGGGGTTTAATTAAATAAATTTAAAATTAAGGATCAAAGTGTAAAAGATGCGAGATTTCAAGAGTTAAAATTGACCAAATTAGCGGCCAAATTAAAGAAACATAAAAGTTTGATGGTCAATTAAAGGTCTAAATGCATAAAACATAAACCAAGAACTAAGATGAAAAATACATTAAACTTTAGGGTTGGTGATTGAGTTTGGCAGAAACAAAATTGCATGAAATTAAAAGTTTAAGAGTCAATTAAAAGCAACTGAAAGAATATAGACTAAAATAAAATTTATCAGATCTCAAATTAAAAACCCTGATTTCTAGGGATTCAACCTAGACAACATATCGTTTACCCACTGTTCATCTATTTCCTTAGTAGTTTTGAATGATCGAGTTAACACCTTTTAAGAGCTCATTGTGGAGTTCTAGACCTCCAAATGACATGAGATTTTTTGCAAATGAAGAAAGAACATCTCATTTACAATCCCATTTCTATTAAATTAGACATTTACATCCCAATTCTTCCATATAAGTTTCCCACATCTTGCTTATAATCAACAATCATTACAATTTTAAAATTTGAGCTGATTGAGTTGACATCTTTAAATAAATGAATATGAAACTACTGATTTTCAATTTAAACAAGCTTGGATCCAAACAAAAGGTATACATCTTATTTACTAACTTCAAGTAGTTTCTAATGACGTTTGTATTAGATTTGCTTTTGTTAAACCTCAAAATTGGTTGACCAAGTCAACCTAGACTATGACAACTGATTTTTAAAAACCATATATTTTTTTGGTGTGTTCACACTTAAAGCTTTTTAAAAGGTTCTTATTAATTACTTTAATCCCCTTTCAAAATTAAAAAGCTAGAAATAGCTCCTTATCCTTCAAGTCTAACAAAATCACCAAATATCCCTAAAACTAAAACCACCATTGAAAAATCAGTCTAGTATAGAGCTTTCAGTTGTTAGCGTTTATCCATAATTCTCTCATTTTTATCAAAAGACCAAGCTTTAATTAATCTTTGAGTGAATCCATAAAAAAAAACCTATAAATACCCCTATAAATCAAGGAAAGAGAAGAGGAAAAAAACTAGAAAAACCCTATAAATATCCTTTGAAAAGACCTTACTATGAAGGTTTAAGAGCCTAACACAAGCAAGCTTTGGAAAGAATAGAAAACGAAAGGGAAAGAAAGAAAGAAAAAATAAACGGAGTACCTGCCTATAACTAGCAAATTTGAAGAATGTATAACCATGTGAAAACTCAATGATGGAGTCCATATGTCCTTTCCATTCATGCTTTTTCAATGTTTGATGATATTTTATTTATTTATTTATTTATTTTTAAAAAAACATGTGTATGTATAGGCAGTTATGATTGTGACTCACATTTTCCCTTGGTTTTACATCCAAGAATAGCTTAAACGCCCTTTATGGGTCAGGGATAGGCTTCCCATCCAGTTTTCTTAAAAACTAGCAAACATGGTCTTTTTTAGTCAGATTCTTAAGACTAAGTCGATCATGTTCTTTATGAAAATGAGGCCATAAATCATGAATTGTACGATGCACATCTCCACTAGGATGCATCTCAAGAGTTAATAAAAGATTATTTAAAGACTCCTTACTCAGCCATCCTTAATAAATTGTATTTTATCTTCACGGTTTATAGATATCATTTCTAAAGAATGACATTGTGCATTACAAGTTTATCTGGCACATTGATGACAGACTTTCAGTCGGTTTGCATGATGTTTCTTTGTAAAATTGCTTTTACCTGTTCCAGACATGTGTGAAATGAAGGAATTAGAGGACTCACTTGATAATTGGACATTTGCTTCAATCAACCAACGAATATCTTCAAGAATTTCATGATTCATTAACAACCTCAATCTTGCACATCTAGCACGGTAAATTTTTGTGATTGCATTCTGAGGCAGAGCAGGAAAATATTTTTTCAATTTTTCAAAATGAGTGTCCATTTTCAAATGAGAATTGGAAGAGAGATTCAAAGAATTGCACAAAAATATACACATATATCAGTTATTTTGGGAAACTGAAAAAACCGACTTAAATCATGGAGTACCGTTGTCCGTCATTTGACCAGGGTGAGAGAAACTAGCAAAAATCACTCAAAAAGAAACACAAAAACATTGTGAGGAAACAAAATCAATCTTTATATATAGGATCACCTAATTCAATAGAGTCAATTTTAACTGAAAAATTATCAAGTAAGCTTTCAAATGATGTCCATTTACCTTGAAAACATTGTCATTCTTTGGATTCTCAATATCACAGGCCCCGTATGGATACACATGTTTCACAATAAAAGGACCACTCCATCTTAATCTTAGTTTTTTCAGGAAA